ACTTCCCAGATGAACTGCAGCTATGGGTAATAGGAGGGCTGGATGTCGCCATTGTGAGGCTGCTCACTATCTTTGGAAGGGTACAGAGATCAGGATCTGCATTACTGAAGAAAGGCAGGTAATGCACCCATCTTCAGTGGGGCAAGGAGAATCCAGAGAACCGCAGGACAGTCAATTTCTGGGACAGTCACAGTGCAGGCAATATTGGAAGTCATTTATTGGCACATGAAGAAGAAGGTAGTAACTGGGAAAGGTCAGCATGGATTTACAAGTGTAAATTGTGCCAGATCTCCTAGATCAAATGAGTTCACTGTGGATGAGGGGAAAGCAGAGGTCTACCTTGAGTTTAGCAAGGCTTTTTGTGCAGTCTCACACAGAATCCTTGTATTCAATTTCAGATGTTTCAGTTTGGATGGGCAAAATTCCAACCAGATTGATGTTCAGAATCATACTGTGCCTGAAAGTTGGTTGCAAATCGAATTCCACAGGGATTGTCCTGCCTGATGTCTTTGTCAATGACCTAGATGCAGAGGCAGGATGCAGTACTTTCAGGCTATCAATGATGATACCAAATGGACGGTGTAGTTGATGTGCTTGAGATCCGGCCTGCCATTCAGAGAGATTCATGTTTGCTAGAGGATAGGGCTAACAGGAGCCCCATGAAATTCACTGTGGACAAATGTAGCATTCTGCATCTCAGATGGACAAGGACCCTGCATAGGCTTATAAGGCATGGCTGGTTTGGTAACAGCTCTGCTGGAAAGGGCATGCAAGGCCTTGTGTTGGGCTGAGTGTGAGTTAGCAGCAGTGAAAGTGCATTAAACCATATGAACAGCAGCACAGGTGGCAGATGAAGGGAATTGGTTAATTCCCTTTCACTCAGTGCTCATTAGATCACATCTGGCAGAGTGAGTCCAGTCTTGACTTCCCCAGCATATGAAAGCTTTTGATAAACCCTAATGAATCCATTGGAAGAACAGAAAGATGGCTGGGGGTTGAAGCATGAAATTTAAGAGCAGAGGCTCAGGCAATGGGGCTTGTCCAGCCCACAGAAGAGAACGGCAACTTTCCAGTTGCTAAGTGGAGGTTACTGAGAAGATAGGGTTGGGCTCTGTGCCAAAGAATGAGAGATGAAGGTCATAAATAATCAGGGAGGCTTGGGCTACATAAAGGAAAAGGGAAAAAAAAGGATACTATGTGGACAATTAGGCAACGAAATGGTTGACGTAGTGGGGTTTTGCAGTCTCTGAATGGAGGATTTTAAGACTAAACTGTACAAAGACATAAAGCAACCTGGTCTGGGATTTGGTGAACTCCCAGAGTCCCTTACATTCAGTTATTTTACGATAACCTTTAAGATGGATCTTCTCCATTTTCTCTGTAGAGTTTCTTCTATTTAATACAGTTTACAGTTTGTAGACTTGAAGACACTGCAATGTTCAGCCCACAGACCAAGAAAATTATATAAAAGGTTGGCCCCCAATTTTAGCTAGACACGATCTAAGACATTTTGAGCAAAGACATCAAGAGACAAGATGCGACAACATCTTTTATTGTTTTTAATATGAGTGAATTGATTAAAAGATCTGAAATGTTGTAAAGCAATATACATACTGAATAAATAATATGCACAGAAGAGTCATGTCTACATTGTAACACTGGCTAGTACTCAGAATACTTAAAATAAATCCAGTGACATTGGATAAAAGTCCATAAAAATGCTATCCTGTCTTCCCTTGTATGAAATTGTTCAAGTATAAAAAAATCCAATACAGTGTAAAATATTAAATTCCATTTCGGTCAAGAATAAAAATTGCAAGTATTGTAGTTTCACAGGACAATGTAAAGCAGCATTTCCTAGCAAAGGGAAAAATAGTCAGTCTACATACAGATGAGTGAGAAAACTGCACTAATGTACTTGAGAGGTCTACATGAAGAACTATTAGAGGGAAAAAGAATGAACTAGCAATATTTAATGTAGAAACCTAAAAAAAAAAAAGTGTTAATTTAAGAGTACCCTCATACAGTGCACATACTGAATTTAAATAAATCCAAGTCAACATCCTTAGTTAATTAGGTTAATATTTAATATGCTACATCTAAGTCTACTAAATAATTTATGCCATGAGATGAATACATAATTATACAGTGTCACATCTAAAGTTGCTTTCTTTAGAGCACAGCATAGTAAAACTTTCAAAATAAATATTTCTTTTTAAATAGCATAACAATTAAGGCACAGTATAAATCACATACCATTAACCCTTCAAGAACTGCAGTCTTGGTAACAAAAGTTGCCTTGTGTAATGTACGTTCACTAATAAATATTTTAAATATAGTCCTGAAATAGATATTAAAATCGTACAAATGGTTTCAGAAAAGAAAATTCCCTTAAAACAGTTCTTAAAAGTTTTAATTCATTAAGCTTCTTCCTGCCTTTATTCACAAGTTACGAATAGATGCAATAAATAGAAAGAGAAGGCTGTTGTAGTAAAGGGCTGATCCTATTTTAGAATCAGAATAGCTGACACCAGCAGTTAAAGTTTCCCAAAAGTGAAACAGGATGGGGCGAGGGATTAGGATGTGACAAGCTCATCACATGAGCATGAGTGATGTGTTCTGTCCAGAACTGTCTGTGTTATTGATTGTCTCTACAGCTGTTGCACCCCTTACTTCCACATCACTTGCTCCATAGTTCCACTCATCCAGAGGACAGATAAGAAAATAACTTTGGTGCCTGTCCGCCATCTTACTAGCAGGCCATCTTCCTTGGGTTGTTCGATGCCCGTTAGTGAAACGGTGGGAAGATGCCATCTCACGAAGACAGCTTCTGAAAGCTACACAGGACAATCAGTGCTTTAAGCTTGTTTCCTCTTAAATGGATAAAGGTTACATATTGCTGACTCAGTTTTTTCCCCTGGTTAGAACTTTCTGAATACCACTTTCTCACTTATAAAAGGCAGTTTTGCTTCCCTGATACTGTAAAAATACACCTTTGCTTTTTTGGTTCTCGTTTCTTTTAAAATACAAAGTCCCATTGCTACTCCTGCCACTCTTTCATGACAGTACAGTATGTTTTCCCCATTTTCTTCTGGATCGATACTTGAAACTAGCCATGCCGCACTACCCCTCCCCTCTAACAACAAGATTTGGATGCATACTGTATGAAGACAGTGGAATAAAAACTCTTTAGTTTCGCAATAGCGTCGCTTTCCTTAAAGCTCCTTAGTTAACATCAATCGTCTCTGATTAACTACTTATACTGGAAGGCCAAAAAGAGGAAGAGAAAGAACGAGCTTCCCTCGGGAGTCCGTCTGCTATTGCATACGATCCGTCTGCAGCTGTTGGGGTTGGTACTGGCCAAAAGCCGCAGCCGCCGCAGCCGCCGTCCCCGGTGCCGCTGCGGTGATGGGCTGCTGCACCGCGTAGCCGTAGCCCCCCGCCGCCACGTAGCCGGCAGCGGCGGCCGGAGAGGCGGCGTACGGGTATTGCTCATAGGCGGCCGCCGCCGCCGAGTACTGGGCGTAGGCAGCTCCGGTGTAATCGATGTAGGGCGTAGTGGAAGCGGCGGCTGCTGCGGGTTGAACGTGGGGAATTACCACTCCGGGCTGCACAAAAGCCTGTGGATAGACATAGTGAGCTGGGATCCTGTTGAAAGATGGGAGAGGGAGTCAGAGGTGGTAGGCGAGTTAGCGCCTAAGCGTCGTATCCATACTCCGAAGTCAGACAAACTCAATTTAGTTGTTGTTATGTGCATAGGGTTGCCACAATAACTGGGTGGAACAGACCGGTTGTCAGTTGGTTGGCCTGAAAACATGAGTTGCTCTGAAGCACAGCCTTATAGCCGAGTTAAACAGGAGCGTTTAATGTTGCTTGAGGATGTTACGTGGGATGTTATCAAACTCTTTAGAAGGCCCAGGATTACTGATGTCAGTTTAAGGCAACTCTGAAGGAGTAGGCTCGATTGCGGCATTTGTTTTTCAAAACACCTCAAGTGGTTTTCATGATCCTGCTTGTCGCCGAACTACTTGCCTCTTAGTGAAATTATTTCCTGTCAGTACTGTTATTATTAGTAACACGGCGGTTTGACAGCCTCGCTGTTTGACAATGGCCAATAAGGCAACAAAACAGCTCAGCCCTGTTTACGTAAAGTGTTCTGGGGGGGAGCAGGAAAGAAAGGTGTATTGTGGCAACCCTACTTAAGTTGCTATGCAGACTCAGCACACATTAATTTCTCTGCAACCTCAGTCACCCTTATTAAAAATAAGAATAAAAACAAAAACAAAAACAAAAAAAAACCAACACAGGCGACAAAAGAGTTTAAATAAAGTTCACAAGTGTGGTAAACACAGCAAGAATCACACTTTCCAAACGAACTATAGTGCAGCTCACTCCGTCACAAGAGGCCATTGAGGGAAGCTACATAGATGCTATTAAAATCCATAACAGTGACTCCTAAGTACATGTGCATCACACTTTTAAAAAGTTCATAAGGACACAAGGGTCAAACCTGTTTGATTATCAGGCCACTGCTGTCCTGTTTTGTGCCAGCTTGTTTATTTCTATGCAAGACATACAGCATAGAGTTTTTTGGAAGGTGGGAATAGGATTAAGTCTAAATAGATCTGGTGCTTAACAAAAGCAAAAAAAAAAACAAAAAAACAACAACCAAACAAGCAAACAAAAAGACCAAACAAATGTATGGCTTAAGCAATAACCATTCTGAACAAATCAGTACACACACTTTCCCATCTTCTCCACAAGAGAAGTGTACACACAAATTCATCTCAAAATTGTGTTTGATCACGTAATACAGTTTATTAAAATGATGCATCTGATATAATTTTCATTTAAAATCCATAGCTCTGTCTCACATCTGGATTTTCACTGAGAAGTCCTTCACATTCCGAACTCATTTCCAGAAAGTGAGTTTTTATAAACTCGTGTAAAACTGCTTGTGCAAATTTACTGCTATTTAGTAATGAAATTTACCTTTACAGACAACTCTGAAGACTGCACCAGCCTTTTAGTGCACTGTAGCATGGATGCAACCTGCAATAGTACACAGTGTCCTCCAACTGTAAGTTTTAATGGAAAGCTTTTTTGCTTTTTTAATTTTTAAAATGACATCAAGATTTACCTAAATGGTCAACAAGGAAGCATTTTAATGAGAAGGGGCACTGTCACCTAGATTCATAGCAAAGAAATAGTATAAAATATATGAAAACCGGACTTTGGAACAGCATAGTTTTCTTTTTTAAGAAGAAGAAGAGCTCAATGGCGTGAATAGGAACACTGCACTCATAAAAACCCAGCGTGCCAATGGAATTTACTTCCTACTGTATGAAGGGAGAAATGGAAAAAAAAAAGAGAATGACAAATAGGGATGGGAAAGGAAAGAAAGCATAAGATAAAACAGTTAGTTGGGTTTTTAAAACTCACCTAATTTATGATGTGATTAGCCAGAACTGCATTTGAAGCATATTTAAGCTGGCTCTGTGCATTTAAATACACATCATTACCTGAGCTCCCCATACAAGATGGATGAGCAAGAGCATGCGTTTCGTATTGGTCACCAGCCAAGGAAAATTTCAATAAATATAACATCATGTTTTTAAGTATTAAATAAAGAGGAATGAAAACGACTTTAAAGTCACTGAGAGCCCCTTCTGCATCATGTAAGAGCCCATTCAACATCACATCACAAGAATTTTTATGTACGGCATTTATGAAATAGAATAGTCCTAACAGAAATGGTTCAGCAAGAAGGCTTATCTAAGTGCTCGTGTTGTCTGCAACTGATGTTACTAGAATTTTCTTAGGACATCAGGACACTCGATCGGATCCTTGAACAAGACAGAAAGATACATGTGCTCCCACTTAAACTCTTATGACTTGTTTCATTAAGCCAAGAAACTAACAGGTGGTGAAGTTATGAAACATTACCCGTTTGCCACATCTTACCCTACAACAAACATAAACCCCAGGCAGGCTCCTCACCACCGTGCCATTTCACACGTGGTGATTGACAGCGTAAGCTGCACTGGGGCTATTTTTGATCATCTGTCATGCTACAACTGTTTTGAGTCGAGTGAAACGGCTTTATATGGCCAAAGTCAATTTCTACCTACTGCAGAGGCCAGCACGTGCAGAGCCTGGCCATTCAGAACCCAACTGCTTTTAGTGCTCTGCCAGGTCAAAAGTTGAAAAAGCAATGCCTAATAGTGCTGGATATCCTTAGTTTCAGTAATTTTAAATAAAAGCTGCTGCTTTGTTCTTGAAAGTAAGAGTGTGGGAATTGCACATGGTTTGAGCTTTCTTTCCTGACAGTAGTTTTTATTTTGGAACACCTATTTGTTGTTTTAAGCTCTTGCACTAAAGGAAAAGGAAAGCCACATTTAACTTTAGCAACAACTATAGCTTTGGGATATTCAAAATGAAATGACTCCACGCTGCCGTGTGCCTTACGACTTCCCCTGTTGTTATAACAGAAGATGTGTTTTTAACTAAGACCTCCCAGAATAATCCTACAAGCAATAATAAGGCGACAGCTAATTGTTTTAGAGGAAAGGACAGTTTAGACTAATGCAGAGAGCTGTGTCATGCAGAAATTCAGCCTTAGTAACACGTAATTGAAATCTCAACGCTACACTATTGAGAAGGTGGTTATTTAACTTTGAATGACATGTTTTGCTTCAGACCATGGTAAGGTTTGGTGAGCATCACTACCGAGTAGAATTTAGTCAATGAACAGCTTTCCTGATCATAAAAATAGGTCACAGAAGCATCAAGGCATCCCCTTAAGGTGCTCCCTTTTGAATTTGCGTCTGGTAACAGCAAGAGGGCATTTAGCAATCTGCAGGTTCACTTCTGACTGTTCTGGCTTCATTCCCTGGAGCCTGGTTAGTAGTAGTCTGATACTACACAGGTCTCCCGATCACAGACTAAAAGAGGGCTTCTCCTTCTCTCTTAAGGAAGGCAGAATTGCCTGGCTGGAGACAGAACTATAGGAGACAGTAACAAGCAGGCAGTATCAGCTCACCATTTGATAGCAGCCTTATCAACTTGAGATTTAACTCTGGTCTTACTAGAAAGAGTGGGAATGGGAATGCCCTCATTTTGATTGAGGCACTACAAGTTCTAGAAAAAAATAAGGGGACAAACTCTGACAGAACAAGTCATGTCCTACACCGGTCCCTATGCATAACCCCATATTTTTCCTCCATAATATTAAAATAAAAATTATGTAAGCAAAATGAGAAAATCTGTTTTAGGAGACAGAGTTATTTTTCCCTCTCCTTAAATTCCTATTGAATTCAGGGTAGTATTTCAATAAGCAATTCTGAAAACAGAGCTGTAGATAACCAGTCCTGTGACCAAACAGCTTCGTTCATGCAGTGAAGCTAACCTAGTCGCTAGCTCCTTCCACTGCAATAAGAGCTGTATTTAATTTGGAATACTGTATTTCTGTGTCTTTTCTGTAAAGTAATTTGACATACTCCAGTTATCTTCAGTTTCTTGCTTGTTAGGTGGGCAATCATGACAAAACACTGTTGACCATCCCAGAGTATGGCAGCACCTTACTAACCTGCATTCTGATTGATAGGGAAAAACAAAATAAAACTTTTGCAGCTTCTATGGAAGAGTTAGCAGAGGGTTGGTAATGAATCATTACTACAATCCATTTAACAGAGCATATTAGTAAAATGTATTTTTTTTTTTAAGTGCAACTGCATGGGAGGATGAGAGGTTTTAAGGTGTGCAATCCATGCAGTATCATCTGAGAGTGAGCTCTTAATAAATGTAGATTCAAGCACTGAAACAGCCCAGCAGAATTGTCAAGGAATATAGAGAACGAAGGTTTTCATTTATCCTAATGAATGCTGTCCTTCCTAATTTGAAGTACATCCCTTAGAAAATACACAGGCCATTGGAAATTCCCAGGGGGAAGCAGGTTTAGTAATCTCCTTTGTCTGTACATAGCAAAAGAAAGGCAAAAAGCAAGGATTAAAAATGACTAATTTGATATATCCACGACCCTGGTACCAACATTCCTCTCCTCAGATTTATATACTTTGCATTAGAAATAAAACCTTATTCAGCCTGCTGGAAGAATTCCCCTGACCTAAGCAAGATTTCAATGATCTATTGTTGGCTCGGGGTAGGGAAAGCAAGAAGGAGCCCTCCACTTGCACAGTGCTTTCAGCAACAGATTGCACAGGTTCTCCTTTTCTGTTATGCTCAGCAAATACTCTCTCCACGGCTGCTCCCTGGGCAGTTCACTGGTTCCTCTTTGCAGCAGGGCTGTAGCAGCTCTGCAGACCACGCACTCCACCTCCTGCCCTCCTCGGTGCTGGCGTCACACACTGAGCACCGCGCACACACTGCCGTCCCCTCACACTTCAAAGAAGTCAAACAAAGTACAGCAGAGGAAGAAGAAAAAAAGACAGAAAGTTTTCCACAGCCTCCCCAGGTGTCTCAGGAGAGCAAACGTTCTCCTCCAAAAGCGCATAAAGCTTCTAGGAAAACTTTTTCCTACAGTTACCTACGGGTTTGATGAAGCAAACTATTGAGAAGCTATTCCTGCTTATGGCAGCTGGGTACACTACACGAAGCTATTCTAGTTGTGACACGTTTTCCCTACTTGATTGTTAGCTTTTTCATTAATTAGCCAAATGCATTATTTTGCAATGAGTTTCTCAGCCAGTGCGCGTTAGTGAAGTGACGCCGTATCGGAATTTTGAAGCAGACCTCACCTCCTAATTAAATGCCTACAGGAAGCAAGAGTTAGAGATACTTAGGAACAGTATAGTCGAGTAAAGGAGAAATGTGCTACGTATTAAAGTCAGACCGAAGGAAAAAAATCTCCAATTAGAAAGCCCAACAGGACGCACATTGTTAATAAGGAGCTCCACACCCCTCCTGAGAACAAACCCCCCCAAAATTATGAACATGCAAGCAATATGTTGATTCACTTAAAAAAAAACCAAGAAGTCACACCATTTAGCACTCACTACAAAATAAGGTTAAAAAAGTCACAAGCTACAGCTTGAAAGCAAGGAAACAAAAAAGGCCCTTTGCTCCCCATGGCAAAGTCACTCCTCAACAACAAAAACAAAATTAAAAAGACCCCCCCCCCAAAAAAAAACACTTTCACTACAGCTCTTTCGAGTAAATAAAAGCACACAGTTTAGCTATCAACACCACTTCATTACCGTAATAAATAAATGAAAAAAAGCACACGGAGGTCTATTGACTATATGAAAAAAACATACATGCATCGTTAATCACCATTTTAGCTTGGTTTGTGTTTGAGTCTACTGGTTACAGAGTTTAATTCCAAACAGAACTATTCCACCTCTTATCATCATATCCTTCTGATCAGTTATCTTAACTGTAAACGATCCCTGTCAGATTAGAAAGAGATAAATAACATTGAGTCAAGCTGAAAAAAGAGAAACGGGGCACAGCAATCTTGCATAAATTCATACCTCCTTGTTTTATCATAGGGTCATATGGGACCGGGCTGCTTAGGTGGAGGGGACGCGTCCCACACAACTTGACTCGGCTACAGCGTTCAGAACGTTACCGACAAGGAGAGCACAGTTACAGGCATACGTTTGTAAGTCTGCAATCTGCAGTACTGCTGCTGTGTTTATAAGGATGCTAGTGCCAGAGGCCTTCAAGGATCATACTTTTGCAAAAAAAAGAATTCTCCTCCCCTGTTTGAGGTCCCATTGAACAGACTTACCCAAAAGGCCTCTGTATGAGAGCTGGATGAAGCTGCTGAACACCAAAGGCAAAACCTACCAAGGAAAACACATCACATTCTCCATATGAGTTTCCTTTGGCTATTTGCCACACACACGCACACAAACGCAGGGTAATGGCCTCCAGTGGTGATGTCTCTAAGGCTGGAGAACCACAGACCAGAAAGCAAAACACATCGGTCCCTACACACACACGCACACAGACATCCATGCAGAAATTAAAACAGTGAAGCTCACGCTTCCCTAGTGGTGTTTAGAAGAATGACTCTGGCTAAATAACGAGTAGAAAGTTTTCATTAACTTTTGATTTTATGCTCCATTCTGGTCCTTACTGTCCATCTATACATGGCCCTTTTTAACCATCGGTGTATCTGTGCTGTTTTTACAGACTTAAGCCTTAGCCTTCTCCCCATGAGGATTTAGCAGGGCTTCAAATCCTTGACTTTGTTTCTGCTCTCCAAATGCCCAAGCACAAAATCCCTTTCCTGTGTGGGCACAGAACTGCTCACAGCGCTCCCTGGGCTCAACACCTTCAGAGCACAGATGTTTACACATGCTGTGCTCAAAGCTCTCTCAGGGTGCGAGGCAGCACTTTGGGAAGTGGCAAGGACATCAGATTGGCTCAGATGTGGCCTTGGGAAATGCTATTTTATTTTAAAATCCTTCCCATAGCTCCCATCTGTTTTAGGACTTTCCTTTAAGATACTGTTGGTATTAATAAGACCACACACACTCGAAGCGATTCATTCCCAGGCCACTGTTTCCCTGCAATGATACTGTAAATGGTCAGCTCCTCCACGTTCCCAGCAATGGAAATAGCCAATGAAGAATCTGAACTGTGCAAATCCTCCTGGAGAACTTGGGATATTGTATCTCCAGTTGCTTTTGGTGCTTAAACAAATAACCACAAAGTTACTGCGTGCTGCCTTTAGAGACAAAAGCACACCTGACCCTCCAATGCGCTTCAGGGGAGTGTGGCCCAGCACTACCTTTCCCAAAGCTCAACTCCCTTCAGGAACCCAAGGTGCACGCAGGGCCGCGTCCTCACCTGGCTGCATGATCCTCGGCTTGGCACCCAAGTACGCCAGGTTGACATTGGCCTTCCTACCATCGATGATGGGGTTGGGGTCCTTACACGCTCGTTCGGCAGCGGCTCTGTCGGCCATGGTGACCTTCAGGGGCGAGGCTCCGCGTTAGATCTCTCCCTCGGGGCGACTGGGAGAAGTCCCCCGCCCCGGTTCAGCCGCCCGGGGTTCCCCCCGCCTCGCCTTGCTGCTCCGCGGCAGCCCGCAGCCGCCGAGGGTGCGGGCCGAGCTCCGCCGGCAGCAGATAACCCTCGGCGAGGCCGTATCAGGGAGCAACAGGCTGGGCGAGAAGCGACGGGATTCGCCCTCCATCTCCTTTTTCAGTAATCCTCCCCCCGCCTCTCTCCGAAGTGCCCAGCAGGGAGGGGGAAAAAAAAAAACCCAACAAAACAAAACAAAAAACTAAGAAAAGAAAGAAAGAAAAAAGAAAAAAGAAAGAAAGAAAGGAAGGAAGGAAGGAAGGAAAGAAGGAAAATCCTCCAAACCCTCCCGCTCCCCACGCAGCGAACCCCGCAGAAGTTTCTCCCGACGGCGGCCGCAGCCGTCCCCGCACTTACAAAGCCGTATCCCCGGGACTTGCCCGTCTGCCGATCGGTGATGACCACCGCCTCCTCGATGTCGCCGAACACCTCGAAGTACTTGCGCAGGCTGGAGTCGGTGGTGTGGTAGGGTAAGCCCCCGACGAAGATCTTGGTGTAGGTGGTGTCCTTCTGCGTCGTGTGCATCTTCCGCCCGGCCCTGAGCTCTGCACCCACGCGTGGCCGCCGGGGCGTGCGGGTCCTGGGCGCCGAGACCCGCTCCCAGAGTCAGCCCTGTTCTTCTGCCTTCTTTTTCCTCCTCTCTGCCTCCCGTCTCCCCCCCGCCACCCGGTCACGGCGCGGCTCCCCGCTGCTTCTGCCCGCCCAGCTGCCTCCTGCTCCGGGCGCGGAGCCCCGCAGCCCGCGGGGGGCTCGAGGTAGGTGCCGGGGACGGGAGGGGCAGCGGCCGGGCAGCGGCCAGCCCGGCGGAGCGGCGGCGGGCGGAGGAGCGCTAAGCGGCGAGTGGCCTCCCCCCCTAAAAGCCACCGGGTCGGGCACTCTCGGTTCCTCCTCCTCCTCCCGCAGGGGCGGGGACCGCGGTGGGGCGGCCCCCGCTCTCGGCCGCGGCTCGGCCGGGGCTGGCACACAGCTGGCGGCAACAGCTGGATGCCGTCGGAACGGGGGCTGCTGCCGGAGGGCCCGGCGGGGAGTCTGCACGTGTCCCCAGGCTTGGGCAGATAAGCAGTGCCGGCGGGGTTGTGGGGTCACCGCTGCGAGCCGGCAGCCCCCAGATGCTTACATCCCAAACCAAACGCCGGCGGTGACCCCCAGCCACATCACCTGCCTTACACCCCAAGATGGAAAAGCCGGGGCCCGGCAGCATTTCCATTACTACTGTTATGGTGGGGCTCGTGGTTGTTATTGTTCTGCACGCAGGGCCAAAGCAATTGGTAAAGCTGCTTCCCTCCTCTTTCTCTCCTCTTGCTGCCTCGGCCCTGTGCTGTGCTGAGAAGGATGCGGCAGAACAAAAGAAAGGACATGGAGGGCTGTGGGAGCTGGGGGGCAGGGAGGCTCACAGGGAGACAGGAAGGATGGGAGGAAGGTTACAGATTGGAGAAACATATGTGCACATGTGTATAGACTTCTGAACCAAACCCTTGTGGTCACAAAGCCTTGATAAGTGCTAGTGCCTCTTTCTCCTTGTGCTTTTGTCTGTTAGACTTTCCCTGTAAAGTCCCCTCTCTTAACATAAAGGAGCGATGCACTGGTTTCCAGAAATGATTTTCAAGAACTTCTCAGTCCCTCTAGTACCAAATGTTATCCATAATGACATCAATCCTAGTCTTAGGCCCTGCTTGCCCCATATCTAACATTGGCTCTGCAGTCGTTGTACTGGTTCTAATGGCCTAGAATGTGCAGCACCAGGCTGTGCTGTCACTAAAACTAACCCCAAACCCCACACCATCCTTCAGATTCTGCAGATTAAACAATCTGTGTTATTATGTTAGAACTAACTGAGATTCAAGCTCAGCAAACCTAGCAGGATCCTGAGAGATGAAAGACAGAGAGATGAGACTTTATAGCCTGGAGAAGAAGAGGCTCAGGAGGTATCCCTTCAGTGTCTAAATACCTAAAGGGAGGATGCAATGAAGATGGGGCCAGGCTGTTTTCAGTGGTGCCCAGTGCCAGGACAAGAGGCTGTTGACAAACTGAAGCACAGGAGGTTCCCACTGAACACCAGGAAGAACTTCTGTGCTGTGTGGGAAATGGAGCACTGGCAGAGAATGCCCAGACAGGTTTTGGAGTCTCATTCTGGACATGGGTTTGGGTACTCTGCTCTGACAGCTGGACCAAGTGGACCCAGAGGGCCCTTTGTCACTTCAACCACTTTGTGATTCTGTGATCCAGACATGAATGTTGCTTTTCACTTCCTGTGATTCCAAGACATTAACTTTGGCCTGAATCCAGTAAGGCCATTAACTCTGCCCCAAGACATCTCCCAGCATACTTCTTATAGTGGTCTGGAACCCTCTGTTAAACACAACAAAGCCAATTCTGCTCTGATGGTCAATTGTCACCGTAAGCTCTGGCCCAGTGACCTGAACTTACGTAGTAGTCCTGCTCAAGGTGTCAGCACCGTAGAGCACTACAGCACATTGCGTAGGAGAACTGTAAACTCTTAGCCCCTTTGAGGGCCAGAAGGATGAACTTCACCTAAAACCAACCATAGCATTCCCTGTCCCTTTCTGTGCCCACCACCCCTGCTTGTCTTGTGATGTCTGCAGGAATGGAGAATTAGCCTAGTTTTGTAGTCATTGTAGTCCACGTAGTCATGGATTCTTGCATTAAGGCCAGAAAAGTAATGTTTGGCTACCCCAGAAGTAATTGCAGCTCTATTAAGGAATTTGCCTCTTTCATTCCAGACACCAGACTTTATTCTCTTGCCCATCAACTTTTGATTGCTGTAGTGTGATTTCTTACAGCTAACTACATCATCCATCCTCCAAATATTGTCAGCCTTCTACAGCCACCTAATGCTAGTAGATCTTCAGTACAAAGCTTCCTTAAAGCCTCGAAGCTGTCATCGGATCTGATCCAATAGAGGGGTTTTTGGAAACAAATTTTCAGCTTAATTGGCCTCTGGGATCCAGTAGCAAATACAGTTTGTTTACTGTAATTGAGCAATGACTTCATATTGTCAGCGCACATACCAGACCTGCGGACTTACAGACTTCAGGCATAAACAGAACACTCACACTGCTTTGATATCTTTAATCTTGGATCTCACTTCAGCAAATGAATCCTCTTCCTATCCTGTTTGCCCGGGTTCTCTCTCCAAACCTGCAACTGCCTGCTGTATAGCTAAGAAATCTGTCCTTACTTCTAGCTGTAGTCACTCAAGAAATTCTTTCCTTCCCACAGTCCTAAGTGTGTTGCATCTGCAGAGGCAGCACTCCTCTTCCCAGTCTTCTAGCCTATAAAGCCTGTGGCAACAGATGGAGCTGATCAATCTCACCAGTTTCAAGCTGTATCCACAGCCCAACACAAAACTGAGCCCGAGTGGAAGACTGGAGATTTTGGCTGACTGAGCCCAGAACAGCTGGTCTTCCACGATCCAGAAACAAAACTTAACTTTCCATATCTATATCCCAATAAAGGGCAAAATTCTTACATTTAGACAGGATTCATCAGCTGGCCCTTGTAGCAGCCTGAGTCTGTCTGTCACAAATCAAACACAACCACAATGACATAATTAACTTCAGGTCCAGGAAGCATTTCTTAAGGAAAAAACACACCTTAATTCCCTCTGATGTCTCCACTCTTCTTACTGCTTTTGCAGCCCTTGTGGGTTCCTGCAATGAACAAGCCTTTTCTGCTCTTCTCTCCTAAGGTACACGTGATTCCAAGCAATCATAGCCTTCAACAAGGAAAGGTAACTCTCACAGCAATAGACCTAACTTGCACTACAACACTACCATCATGCTACAGACATACAGACCCTACATGAACCAAAAATATATCTTCACCTCATTCTGTTCCACACCGATTTTAATTATGAGTTTAAAATTTAGATGAGCAGACCCTTTTAAAATGTTTTCCTAACTAGTATTGCCAGCTTTTTCTACTCCGTTACCTCTTCTAATTCATCCATCTATCTTCTCCAAAAGCTGCATCTTTTCTTTCATCTTAATCATAGATTACATCCTAGGCTAGTTATCTTCATTTTCCCATTCTCATTCTTGGTCTGTTTATCTAAAGCACAGCAATCCTTTCCTAAACCCTTACAGCCTATGCAGGAGTTCTTTCCCAGCCAGCAGTAGAACTAGCTCTTCAACCTCTGCTTCCTTTTTGCACAGTAGCTCTAACTCTGCCCCATTCTTGAATTCTGTCACCTACCTCAATCCTGCTTGCAGTTCACAAGGGCTGTCAATCTGAGCTTGTTGCAATGGATGCCGTAATCCTGTGAAGACTGAGCCGAGGCCTTCTGTTGATCAGGACAGAAGAGCACAAATTTGTCTGGACAAACAGCAGGGTTATTTCTTTGTTCTGTGTGTTGAGTTCAGTTCAGAGAATTTGAGAAGCCAAGGGCAGAATAACTTCACTTGTTGCTGGATCCACAGGATTAATATGGTCACTAACAAGGGGTTGGAGCCGTGGGATCCAGTGCTCAGTTTGGGGTAAGGTGAACTGGGAATGGCTTTCATGCCACCCTTTGGAAGAGCCATGGTGCTCAACTATTTCCAGGAATGATTAGGGTATGAGTAGTTTTGTCCAGGCAGAAGTGACAGACCTAACCACAGTTTTGAGATAAAGAGTTCTGGGCAGGAGGTGCTAATAAACTTATCTGGATCAAAATCAAGAGTGGTGCTTTAAGATACTTCTGTGGCAGACAGCGAACTCTAGGTTTGGTCAGGATTGAGTTTTGGTGGCCCCTGCAGGAAGGAGAAATGACAGCAGATCTTCAACCCTTTGTGTCTTAGAAAGCAGCTATCACCCATTCCATCAGCCTAGTCCTCTCAGGAACAGCTGTCAACTGAGTATATAGTTCCCACAGAATTCAGAAATAAACTCAGTGTTCCAACACCAGCTCTTAATCCTAACACTAGCCTTGATTCAGTAGAGTGAGCACAATTATCCAAGCC